AAGCAATCCAAACAGTGTCAAGTTAATGAAGAACACATGGAATAATCTGGAAAGCTCCATCTCAATAGCATTTAACCTTATCTGGATTACTTGCAGCAGACATTTGATTTACTATGAAAACCATTAAAAAATTTTTTTCTCAGAAATGTAAATTTTTTTGCTTTGCTTTGGTTTTGGTTTGGCTGCACCTCGAAGCACGACAACCAGTGATTGAACACAGGCCCACAGCAGTGAAAGCCCTGAGTACTAACCACTGGACCTCCAGGGAACTCCCTCAAACATGTAGATTTTTAACTGATTCTCTCATCTCAAAAAGGGCACGTCTTTGTCTTGACCTGGGTATTTTATATTTTTATTATTTTGTATATGTTAAATTATTAAGTTTGTACATAGATATAGGGTGAGAAAGATTCACAGTAAATCAGATAGGTACACCCAAACTTGTCAAACAAGTAATATTGCCAGAGTTTAAAAAGCACTGGAGCAAAAGTACAAATTCAAATTATAGTCCAGATTTGCAACCAACTCTGAAGGAAAAAAACTTTCTTCAGAAACTTTTTCAGGGTCTTCTAAAGGGACCAATTCTTAAAACCTAGCATGGCATTAACAATGTAGTCACAGTATGGACATATACCTTTTAAATAATGCGTCAACGCTGCAGATCTAGTATAATAAGGTTAAATGTTAGGGATAATACTATTTTGACATACCTTCCACAAGAAATATGAAATATATGCTTGTTTTTCAATTAAATGGCAAACTGAAAAATTCAACTAATTATTATCTATTAATGTTTACCCAATCAGTAACTTACAAAACATTATGTAATACAGCTTTTCTACAGGTGTTCCTCTTACACTTAAAATATTTTCAAGGAAGGAAAACAAAACAATTAGAACCAAGAAATGAACAGAACTACATTTTTAGTGCCAACATTTATATGCTACTTTACAATGTAGAATAATTAAAGGGAAAAGGAGATCTAAGAACAGAACAGATACTAAATTTTTCCAAAACACTAGGCACCCTTGTGCTCTTGTTATTTAATTAAGAACTAAAAGGACCAAATTACACAATGCAACGTGATTTAACAATGACGTCATTGACAGAAAGCCACTGGAATAAATAAATAGGAGCAACTGAAAAGTCTCAAGACTGTCTTCTAATAAAAAAAAAAAAAAAAAAAAGACTGTCCTCTCAGTCTTTCCAAATCAATCAAGCACCTAGATTTTAAAGGAGATCTCTTTATAAGTGTATTTCATTTAAAACACACTTATAAAATTATACTAAAAAAAGCAAATGATGCTGAAACATTTGATGTTATAGTCAATAAAAGTATATTATTTTAAAACAGAAAATTTTCTTGTATGACCCTTTGCACTAGACTGATAATTCTGGACACATTTAAACCATCTAAACCTACTTAACATTTATGTTCAAATGAACTAGTCTAAAATACAACTCTGTTAACAAAATAGGTCTCAGCAATCTGACCCCAGGTTTAGCGACACTGTTGGCAAACCAACTCTGGTATCGCATTCAACTTAACTTCTAAGAGGAGACATTTTCCTAACCCCAATAAAACTGAGCAGATGTGAAATTTTTATTTTTAGTGTCTGAAATTTGCTTCTTGAGTGAATTATAGCCATCAAGGAAATATGTTTTATTCTCTTGCCAAAGCCCAGTCCTGCACTCTTTATTAGGCAGAACTCCCACGAAGTCATCCAAACTAAGTCTTTCAAAACTGGCCCCTCCTCAACCTTGGGGAAGAGTTTTCTGAACTTAGCTGGGGCTGAGAAAAAAATCTGAAGCCTTAAGCTTTAAAATAAACAAAACAAAAAAACCCAAAACCGAGATCTGATCGTGTAACTACCAAAAGAGAGGAAAGAGTGTTGATAAAAGGATAAAGGGGACAGTGTTAATTTAAAAAAAAAAAAAAGGAAAAGCTGCTCACTTAAAAAATAACAACAAAAACTAAGGGCCCATAGATCATTCCACATTACTGGGTGGTCCCTTCTTCACTACCACCCACCAGTGGCAGAGTTGTGAAAAACAGGAATACAGAGATGGGTGCCTGATTTGGGGTCTAAGTTTGTGCCTTTGCCTGTATATTCAAGCAAACAAATAAACATAATAAAAGTCAACAAGAGAACTTAGAAAAGTTTTAAAAGATGACTTTAAAATAATAAATGTGGAAATTCCCTAGCAGTCCAGTGGCTGGGACTCTTCGATTTCACTGCTAGAGGTGGGGGGTGGGGGTGTAAGGGTTCAATCCCTATTCAGGGAACTAGGATCTTATGAGAAGCTATGCAGTAGGGCCAAAAAAAAAAAAGACTAAATCTATTAAGTGACATAGAAGCTGCAGTCTTCCACAACCATTTAAAAATAATGTCTCCCTTTGCAGAGTGCTATCTACTTACCTATCTTACAACATGAGTTCGAATTCATGGCTCTTTCCACTACATCATACTGCCAAGAGGCTGAGTTTTTCTTTTTTTTTTTTTTTTAAATTTTATTTATTTATTTGGCTGTGCTGGGTCTTGGTTGCGGCACATGGGATCTTTGATCTTTCTTGAGGTATGCAGAATCTTTGGCTGTGACATTCGAACTCTTAGTTGCAGCATGTGGCCTCTAGTTCCCTGACCAGGATACGAACCTGGGCCCCCTGCATTGGGAGCAAGGAATCTTAGCCACTGGACCACCAGGGACTCTTGAGGCTGAGTTTTTCTAATAAAATAACTATATACCAGAAAAAGGGGTAAAATGAGAGACTTTGTAGCAGCCAGGCAACAACTAAAGAGCACTAAGCTTCCAGGAAATGACTGCATTATCTTTCATTAAGACTGAAGTCAGATCAATTGAAGGGGAAAAAATGTTGCACAACTATGACTAACCAGAAAGGAGGAAACACATATCTTCAAAAACCACTATTAATAAAGCAATCTCAACTCTCACAAAATGGCCTTTCAGAGCTTCATCTTCTTCTTAGTGAATGTCAAGCAGCTACTATCTTATAGAAAGGCATGCATTTTCTAGAGCTCAGAGACCATCAACAACAGCTAAGAAGGTAGCCCTATCCTATGACAAAGTAAATGGCAGACTTCCCCAGACCATGATTTAGCAATGAAAGTATCTCATAACTGTTCCTTAGAGCTCGAGTTATAAACCGTTTACACATTGCAGGGATCCAAATTAATACTATCTACAACAATCTCTATAACTTAAGAGCAAAGAGAAAACACACACACAAATGCAGATTACCCAGAAAATGTCTAATTTTCCAAGCTGTTAGGTTCCGTTTTTATTAAACTTTTCCCATTTCTACTCACATAATTTTTAGCCTATAAACATTTGCCAGCTCTACAGCCTTAAATTTCAAAGTAACAAAAGATATCTTATCCAAAAGATTTTTAACAATCTAAAGGATGTCCCAAGTTAAAACATGAAGTCTCTTGTCCCAAGTTAAAGTTAATAGGTAATGAATGCTCCAGACTAGAACTAGCAGCAAGTAGCTGTCTCATAACATATGTGCTTCCCAGTATCTCAAAGTCCTTATCTGGAAAATAAGGCAGAAGTATGAGATTCCTAAGGTCTCTTTCAGCTCTAACCTTCTATGTTAAGATCTCCAATTCACTAAGAAAATTTCTGTCTGTTAAGGCTCAAAATGCAGTAATTTTAAACATACTACTACAAGACTGTAAGAAAGTACTGAACTTGAGCAGACCTCCCCATCACAGATTTTCCTAAACTGCAGGAGGCAGGAAATATGGTTGCCTATTTGTTACCCTCTCTTACATAAGAACCAATCTAAACAGAATGAGAACTCTATAATAAAAGTAAACAATTAACAAATGGACAGATACACCAACAGAAGTAGAAGTTCAGTGGTATTAAACTACTTCTCATCATAACTTCTATATATCATGCCAGAATATAAAGATGCATATGTATCCTAATGTGCTTCATTAAAGATTAGTTCTATCACCACGAAATTTAAAATGATAAATTCTAAATAAATTCTCACCATTTTAAATAGAGGTTTTAAATTTCAAATTAACCAATACTAGTAAAATACAGTTCAAAATAAATGACTGAATAGTGGTGTCAATTGGTTCAACATACATTTCAATATATACACCTCCTTCTTTGACAACTCTTCTCTTTCCCCTTCAAAGTTCTTACTTCTAATTCCTCTCAACTCCATCTCCCCACTCCACTGTGTGCCCCACTTCTGTTCTCTTCCACCTTTCAACCATACGCTACTTTCAAAGCAGCCACTTTCTAGTGGCTCTCTAATCTAGAAGTATTAGAATCACTACCTAGGAGGCTTAAGAAACAAAAACAAAACAAAAAAAATCACCTAGGAAGCTTATTAAAAATACACATTAATACTTTCCAGCTAAGCAGAAGTTGAAAAAATTAAACCTCAAAGGGTAGGCTCTTCTGGTTAACTAAAGATTAACCAGCGAACTTACTTTATTGAAGTCCTTTGGAATCCATTAGTTTTCCCCTGCTTGTGGTTTGTGAGAAATATCTGATGATTTAATAACTGCCTTACAGATAAGTTTATAATCCACTCCTATCTACAGAGAAGAACCCTCAAGTCAAATAAAGGCCTCAAGGTAAAAATATCGTATATTTTTAAAAGGTTGCAAAAACAAAGTACACGTAACTGAGAACTTATGTGGCCCACCAGGCCTAAAATATTTACTATTTGGCCCTTTACAGAAAAAGTTTGCCCACTCTTGTACTATAGTACCAGGCACTGAAAGTAGAGACCCCAAGGACAATGCCCAGAAATGCTCCTTTCTGGACAGATTACCTGAAGAGGGAAAAGTTTTCATTAAGTCAGCTCCAAATGACTTCATTGCTATTTCTCTAACTGACTTGCCCTCAGAAGTATTACCCTCAAAAGATTCTACTCCCTCTTCTTTATTCAACAGTTTCAGCTAAGATGCTAAGTAGCTCTAGAGATAAATGCAAAAGATTTCAAGTCTTACCTGAGGCATTTGCTATCGCCAAGGGCAGGCTTGGAAGCTGGTGCACCTGGATTCCTGAAGCACCCAACGCACTGAGGTTAATGGTCTGGAGGCCAGGCATGGAGGAGAGCTGAGCAGCATTCACAGTGACTGTGCCGGCAGGGATGGAGGCAGCTGAGGCAATAGGTGTAAGGGTGGTACTGCTGCTGCTGGTCTGCCCCAAAGAAACACCCTGCATTGGGGCCAAGGTGATTGTCTGGGCTTGTGGGTTCTGAACTTGGAGGTTCTGCAGCTGAAGAGTCTGCCAGCTGACCTGTCCATTGGGCCCCACTGTTGGTGTCCGGATGATGATGGGGCCAGAGTTTGGAACAGCCTGAAGCTGAAGGTTCTGGAGGGTTTCCTGGGAGATAGCTTGAGTTGTAAAGGTCTGCCCTGACAATGGGGCGGCTTGGAGGGCCTGCAAGGCCTGTCCCCCTTGAACCAGTTGAGGCTGGATGAGAATTTGTTGTTGTTGCTGTGTCTGCTGGTTTTGCTCTCCCTCTTTTTGTTGACTTGCTTGCAGTGAACCTCCAGATGTCTGGTTCTGCTGCATGTTCAGAGTATCAGATCCCTGCAGCCCGCTGACCCTCTGTGGTGTCTGGCTCTGAGAGTTGGTCCCTGCTGATCCGCTGGTGGTAAAGTTCATAATTCCCATGTTGCTGGTGGTAGTAGTTGTTGAGTAGCTATTGGCATTGGTGAAAAAGGAGCTGGAACTGGCTTGTGAAGATACCAAACTGGCAGAACTGATGGCAGTCCCTGAGGTGACAGGCTGTGAGCCACTCTCCTGGGACCCAGAGCTGCTGATCGTGACTGCCTGAGAGCTAGGTGTCAAGGTAGCTGCAGAAACGCTGTTGACAGGTAGCAAGGTAATATTCCCGTTCAGGGCCACTGGGACATTGGTCACATACTGAGTCTGTCCTGAGAGTACATTATTAGCCAGGCCTTGGAGGGGGACAGCCTGCTGGAGTAGGTTTGGCATAGCAGCAATGATGTTGCCTCCACTTCCTCGATTTGTGATGATCTGTTGGTTTGCACCTGGTATGATCTGTATCTGACCTGAACCATCCTGCTGCACTTGGGCCCCAGTGGCAGCAAACTGCAGCTGTTGCCCATCAACGGTCTGGAACTGTGGGATTACTTGATACTGAATATTAGGCATCACTCCAGGCAGTCCTGTCAGGACTTGCTGGTTCTGAAGGTTGGAAGTGGCAGCCACAACATACTGCCCACCGGAGACCGTGCGATTCTTGGAAGACTCACTGCCATTGTTGCCGTTGGTACTGCTGCCACTCTGTTCCTTCGAGGTAGGGGTAGCCCCAGAGGAGGAAGAGATGATCTGCCAGCCATTGGCACCCTGGGAAAGTTGTGTGGCTGTGAGGTCAAGCTCACCTGTACCCCCTGACTGGCTTGGGCCCTGGGAGTTGTTGCTGTTTTCATTGGGTGACTCAATTCTGCTGCAAGTTGCTGCCAGCAGAGCCAAAGGGGATGGCTGGGATTCCTGGCCAGAAATAAGGGAGAGGAAAGGAGTTACTTGGTGGTACCCATTTGCCAGACCAGGGGGCAGTATACAAAAAATAAACAGTGTAACAGTGCAAAAGGGGAAAAAAAAAGAAAAACCCAACCAAACAAAAAGTTGGATCTATCTATACTATTGAAACTCTCATTTAGGGGGATCTCCAAGTCATTTGTCTCTCTGTGCTTACTTCCCTATCTATAAAATGGTTTAGCCAATCCCTTAAAATTTTTCTGTAAAAAGACAGTCCTCTAAGGATATTTACAGCCTCTCAGCACCTTCCCCACTGTGTCAGGATCATCACTTACCTGCCCTCCTCCTCCGCTGCTGCTGCTACTGCCTGTGCTGCTGCTTCGAGCCTGAGAAAAGGCACCACTACCATTTCCATTGCCCCCGTTATTGCCACCAACTCCTTTTTCAATCTTCACCACAGCTGTCATTTCATCCATGGAGTGATCTTGGTCTAAAAAGAATTTAAAAATAACTTTTAAAATTGGAAAAAGCAAAAGGTAAAGTGAGAATGGGTAAAAGAGGCTGTGATGAAACAAATGACTAACAGGAAGGTGAAAGGCGCCAATATTAAAAAAAAAAAAAAGGATTCGGGGAGAAGGAACAGTTGCAGACCACTAGGATGTGATCTAGGCTCAGTGATGCCAAAACTGGACCTCAATTCTCCTTTGCACAAAATTAAACTCAGAAAACACTGAAAAGGTGCTTTTGGTACAGGAAATACGAGGGTCGGTGGGCATGTTGAAAAAGTAACCTGGGGGAAAAAAAGGATAGATAAGGCATAAAACATGTGGGTGGATGGAAAGTTTGCTAAAAACTAGGGTCAAAGGAAATGGAGAAAGAGAAAAACTCAAGTGTAAAAAGTAACAAGAGGAAAGGAGGAGAAAGGGGAAAAGAACAGATAAAAAGTTTGACTGGGGAAACATTTATAAATACTAAAAGGGGCTAAAGAGGTCCAGGGGTTAGAAATCAAGCGATTCGGGGCGGCTAGAGGGCGGGCCCTAGAGGAAAAGGGCGGTTTCGGGGTGTGGGGCGTGGAAAGGGCGGGACGGTAGGGGGGAGGGGTAATTTACGGGGGGAGGGGTAATCTACGGCAGAGGGGGAAGGGGGGAGGGCCTTGGGGCCGGCGGCGACCAGAGGGCGGACCAGGGAGGCGGTTGGCCCGGGCGGGGCCTGCTCTGCTTGGGCCGCCCCCGCGGCTCCAGCCCCCGGCAGGAGGAGCCTCAGGCGGGCAGCCGAGTAGTGGGGGGTAAGGCCCGTCCCCCGTGGCCGGGGCGGGCAGGGGGCGGGCGAGGCCACGCTGCCCCCTCCCCCGGGGCGGGTGGCCCATCCCCCTCCTCCTCCTCGGAGGCCCCGCCACTGCCCCTTCTCCCTCCCTTCCCTCCGCCCCGGGCGGGACCAAGGCCGCCGCCGCCGCCTCCCGCCCGCCCCCCCTCACGGCGGGGACCGCCCGGTCGGCCCTCGCGCGCGCCCCCTCACTCCCCTCCCACCCCTAAGCTTGGAGTGGACTCATCCTTACCGCTCATGGTAGCAGCTGAGGGACGAGCTCAAGGGGGTCCTGTCCGGGGGGGTTGGGGGGGGCCAGGAAAAACGCGGACGCTGACGAGGCAAGCGAACCCGGACCGGACAGGGAGGGGGGGGTAAGGAGGAGGGAGCAGCGCGCCACAAGCCCGGCCTAGGCCCCGCCCCTTTACTGCTGCCCCGCCCAATGAGGGAGGGAGATAGGAGGGACTTGCAGAAGAAAGACGAGCAGATTGCCCAATGCCAAGGCTCGCTTGCTCTCTAAGGCGTGTAAGACAAAGTTGCGTGCGTGGTGTCCGCCCCAAAAGATCGGCCTCTCAGTTTTAGAGGCCAATGAAAGAGGCAGGAAGTGAAGGTGGGCAGGAACTAAAGATGATGGGCTTGGGAAGAAGCCAGTCAACTGCCAGGCGGGCTCCGTGAGTAGTAGGGATTGGACGAGCTTTCATTGGAATGACAGAACAACAACCAACCAGAAGCTCGGACGTGCCTGGGCAAAGTCCTAGTGGGAGGAGGTAAGAAGTAGACAGGAACGGGATAGGATGAAGTGGATCAAAACCAATCAGAAATCAGGCGGGCAGCCAGGAAAGTTATGATTGGATTAACACTGAAAAGAGACGCGATAGGACGCAGATTGACGTGTATAAAAGCCAATTGAATGCCACGTGAGCTCTGAGGGCAAGAACCTGGAGTGGGCAGAGGAGAATTGGCCTCTGCCTCAGTCGTTCGGTCCAATGAGGTGGCGGGGGGGGGAGGTCAGGCACCGCCTCCATTTGGCCGATGGGCGTTACCAGAGCCGGGAGGGAACAGGGCTGTGCCAAGAGGAGTCCGTCGCCATTTTGGCCCTCCTCTGGGGACGTCTTTACAGTGATTAGGGAGCAACGCTTCAGCTGAACCGTGCAGCTCAACAAGTGTCAGGCGGAGCCAGTAGGCGCAAAGTTCTGCTTTGACAGCAAGCCTCGTTTGAGTCTTAATTTAACCGTTCTTAAAAGTACTTCTCGATTCTCACCCCTTTAGGGGTGGGCGGAGAGGCAGGCGGATGCCTCTGAATGCGGTATACAGGCGCAAGAACTCTGGTGAGAGTTCTCACACAGCCAGTTAACGCGCTGACCGATTTGCGAGGTATTTGTGAGACTCCAGCAAACGCCATTTTATTAAATTCTCCCAGTTTGGTGCTGGCTACTTAAGGCGGGTTAACTTTTCAAGAGCTTGCATTTGAAGCTAAACTATGTTGGAGAACCTCCCATAATCAAGATCCTATAAACCACTTTCCGCTGCCCCCTTAATTGTAAATACGCTGTAAGCAAAGCAAAATAGCAAAATAAAGTTGCTTTTTGCAACTGCATAAAAGGACTTTTCCTGAATTTCTGGCCTCCCATTCTGCCTTTATCCCAGTTTTTGTGGCCGCAGCCTGGGTGACTTGTCAATAACGTGACAAGGTCATACCTTTTCTCACTTGTATGTTATATGTTGTCACTTCATTATCTACAGTTAAGCACTTGATAATGTCATGTTTTAAAGTCTGGATTCCCCGAAACTGAGGCTTCATGTTTCCCTGGGCAAGGCCAGAAGGTAAAAGCCTGCAGAGCTAGGTGCCTAGGTCAGCTAGGTACTTTGCATTCCTAATATCATTCTCATGAGGAAGCTATTCGTAAGTATTAGAGGCTATTAGTAAGTATTTTGTAAATTGAGATATTAGTATTTTTTAAGTTAAGAAATTGAGGCTAGGAAGTAACTTCCCAAAGATCACAAAGCTAATGAGTTGTGCCAAATTTCAACTCAGAATAACCCCACCGAAAGTCATAGAAGTCACATAAGTTCTTAAATGAATAATGCCTTGTATAACCATTTATAAAATTGAGTTTAATTTTTTAAATGGGCTTAATAAAATTTTTTTAAGAAAATATTTTTGTTACCTTCTAGCTCTTAAAAAAAAAAAATCCTGCACGTACTTCCTGGATAGCTTACATGGTATCATCCTCTTTTATAACTTTATTACAAAACATCACATTACATTTCTATTACTAGCATCTCTAAGTCAAAGTTTCTCAGAATATCAGGGAATCTATCTGTATTCTCTGGACTGCTTTTTTTAAAAAGGTAAGATTCCTAGACCCCATCTTAGGCCTAATAAATGATAGTCTCTGGAGAGGAACATGAGAATACAATTCTTTCAGGTGATTAGTCCCTAAATCACAGTTTAAGAAGCACTAAAGGAAGAAACTTGAGAGAAGAAACTTCCAGAAGGAAAGAAACTTCCTGGAGGGAAGAAGCTGCATTACTCATCTTTGTAAACCAAGCTCTGGAGATTCCAACAGCTGTTTAGTGTATTTAGCAAAAGACCACACCCAAACTTGCTGAGAGGGGAGGAGGGAGGAGGAACTAAAACTGTGGCGCAGTCCTCTGAACATTTCTAATTTAATCCTTTCAACCAATGTAAGAAATTGTCATGCTCTTCTATAGATGAGAAACCTCTGAGGCGCCAATACTTTAAATTATGACTGTTTTGTTTAGTTTCAAAGCTTTTTCTCCCGCCCCCCCCCCCAATAGTTCTAAGCTAGTCTAAGCCTGAAATGGGAACTAGGGTTTGGTTTTATTCCAGGTAGTGAGAAAAAAAGACCTAGCTTTAGACCCAGAAATTCAAGAGCCACGCTCCTTTACACAATATTCTCTCTTTGCTTCTCCAGGATGAGACAGAATTCGGTACCTGGCCTGTGAGGGACGTCCTCAACATAAGCTTGTTTTCTGAGAGCAAATGGACATGGCCAATTCGTCTGTGAAAACCTGAAGAGGTTTTCTTTCGACTAAACAAACAAAAATAGACTTGTTTTAAGTTTGTCTTCATAACCGTTTGTGAAATCATTTAAATAACTCCTAATGACTGTGTTTAAAAAAAGCCACGTGGATTGAGGGTTGTCCTCATTTAAAAACCACTCATAAGAACACAGGCGTTGAGTGGTAACACTCCAGTGTGGCGGTCTGCCCTGCACCTATTCAGGCTCATCTTCCCTAACTGTCTACTACACTGTTAGCCTTCACTTTGTTCTTTGTTGAAGTTTTCCGCTAAAACGTGCTTTCTTGGGTCTCCAAAATTTAAAAGTACAGTTCACTGAGCTGGTCCTCTTTCTGGGCTCATAACTCTTCTCTTTGATAAAAACTAATTTTAATGCAATCTTTGCTAACTCCCCCCAGTTACTGTAAACTCTATCCACCATGCTCTTTTTACATACATCCATTAAAGGTATCTAAATATCACATCTCCAGTCAGACAAAGTAATCTTGAGGGCGGGGGATGATGCCTTTTCACTATGTATCCTCAAGGCCTAGGATATAGTTCACAGTAAACACTTGATAAATGAAAGGGGAAGCCCAGTGCCCCAAATCCTGAATAGGTCTTCAGATAGTACCACCCCAAGGATTGATTCTCAGCCTTGGGTTGGTTGCCTTTTTCAAGTTAAACCTGATTTTGAAGATACTCTTTGATTTTAGCGATTTCCCATTTAGCAATCTGGTAACAGGAATATTTTACAAATTAAAATATGCAAATGATTACAAACTCTTCTTTTGTAACATCATTGTAAACTTTCCTCTTTGGTAAACTTTCAACAACAGCTGTTAAGAACAAAACACATTGACTAAAATTCTGTTTACTTGTCGTACCTACTCTAAGATAAAGAAGCTTAGGAAAGAAAAATAATCTCTAACAAGAAAATAAAGTCTCAGAAAATAAACCTTGATTTTTCACATCATGCGCATTTCAGGTCATTTACAAGGCAATGGGTGACTGGAAAAGCTAAATGGATCATCACACATCCCTCAGTCTTTTCAAGACCCTGAAAACACAGGTAACTAAGAACTCTTAACAAGTCAGGTTTCTTTGAGAAGCTCAGAACCTGTTGATGAGAAATTCAGGACAGGCTAC